CACGTACGTATACGTACCGGGGAGGTCCGTACGTTCTACACCGCGGCTTACGCCCTACCTTCTGATGGCGAACAAAGCCGCTGCCCCACCACACTGATTACCCGAGCGATCCATCAAAGGCTTGTTCAAATCCCCGGAACGCCGGGGAACTTGGCCCAAAGACCCACAACGTGCACGTTTTTTGGGGGTTCATTTTAGGCAAATCCTCCGTGTCTATGGAATTGGCGGCTTAGGATGGTGGTGAATGTAGAATGTACGTTTATCTGAAACGCTGCTTTTGTCGGTCTGGCAAGACACCAGTCGTATAGGCTTATCATTCTCTTTCCTTTTTTTGGTCAACTTTGCCCATGATTTTCCCCGACATATGTTTGTTCATAATCAGCCTTATCTTGAGATAAGAACTCGTTCTCTACCCTACATACCTATCTACACCGAGCTGTCAATGTTCCAAAGAGCCGCTGCCCATTTTCCTCAGCTCTATAATTGTTAAAGAACCACTGACAGAGAAATGATAGTCGGTTGATGAAAAATGATCTTCTTGTAGGTCATAGGGATGTTGTCGTGCATGTTGTGGTAATGTAAGTAGTGTAATTAAATTGATTTCGTGTCTTTGCCCGGGATGCAGGATGTTTTAATGATGAAATCCTGTCACTTACAACACTATGCTTCATCCGAACAAAAGCAGCTCTGGCTCTAAGAATGATGGGATATATAAATAGGGATGAAGGTTTGAGTACATGGCATTGTCTTACCCCATGATGCACCGCGACGACAAAATTGAACACATTCATCTACAAATGAGAAGTTTTTCCTTTTTTGCCAAACGAGGAAAGTGTTGATATCTTTTTTTGCGCTCCACAAACCAGGGCCCCTCGATACATCATCTGTAAGTACCTGCGGATGTGGTAATTCTATCTACTGTGAGAGGGACGTCTCCGACGTCATTACGTACATTTGTACCCCCGGGCTTGTTTTGATGTCGGAACATCTCTTTGGCAACATCGGTTCGTCATTGAGAGCGCAGAACCTAATTAAGAACAAAGTGACTACCGCTTCATGATCCTAATTCAATAACGCATCTCTTCTTTCCTCTGCATCGATACAGTGTCCTAGGTGACGTCAGAGCGTAGCTGATCCGAGCCCGAGGTCTTCGTGGTTGCGGACGCACAAAGTCTGGCCTGACGGGCGGAGACACTCGTGCCTGCTGCATTCAATAGGCCAATTTAGGAACACCATAGATTACGGAAAAATCGCCCACAGAAGCGTGAGACAGGCTGAGATTACAGCCATTGTGACTGGATAATCAGCAGTCCAGCGGGAGGTGATGCAGCTCCTGGCGCTGAACAGTCTGCCAGCGTCCAGGCTCCTGTCTGCACGGCTCGGGTAGGTGGATGGGCGGTCTGGCCGCGGTACTCCTGTTGCTCTCACCGCTCTCCAACGGACGCACGCGGTAGACTTCGCCACCGTTGTTCAATCCCAGTGTTTAATTCTACATCGTGGAGTAGTCTCGTCTTCAGCTCTCCGCAATTATTGAACTGAATCCCCACTTCGCATCTGTGCTCATCTAACCTCCGTTATTCAGCCCCAACAACAAACATTGCCGTAACCGGCGTCGCGCACCGCTCAGGCGTCTGAAGGCTCAGTTCGGCCGAGACTTGGTTAGGAAGCAGGCAGCATGGGGCAGAGCGAAGCCAAGCTGGACAAGAAGACAGTGGATGAGCTGGTGCGGCTGACGGACAGGAGGTTCACGGAGCAAGAAATCAGAGATCTGCACAAGGACTTCCTGCGGGACTGCCCGTCCGGGAAGGTGACGCTAGCCGGCTTCAGACGTGTGTACGGACGGTAGGTAGCCATTTTGTCATGCATGACCGTAATCCGCAATAATAGGCTTTACGCTCCCTTCTTTAACTGTGTAGGTAGAGTATGTAATTGTAGGCTTTCAAGCTAGAGACGTTTTGTTTTCTTCTCTCTAACATCTGTCTGCATCAAGCTACTTTGTCAGGAGATGTGCAATAAAAATCGTACGCCTCCTACCTCAACGGATATGGAAACAATTATGACTCAGGGAAATATGAGGCAATACAAGATATTGTATTTCAAATATGACCAAAAATCGTCATTGCCTTGTGTTTGGCTTATCGCTGTTTTATTACCCATAGGAACTGTTGCGCCGTTCCCCATGTTGTGTTAGTTAACACCGCTTTGCCTGAACGCCTACATGGTTTTGTGGCGTGTCTTCCCTCTTCTCTTGATTGATCTATTTACCAATCATTCCCCCCAGATAGACGTGCCTCACAGGTGACACCAATCCTGAGTGGGCGGTGTTATTCCCTATTGTGTCATATCTGGGTCCAGACACAGAGCTGCTCGTCCATTAAACCAGCCACAAACCATAAATCAAAACAGACTTATAGCATATAGCAATAATCCTTCGACATTGTGTTGATGAAAAGTGATATTAACTCCGGGGCAAGTGGTGATCCGAAAATAAAGCACACGAACCACGCATCATTTGTGTGAAAAACATATCTGATGTTCTTTCCGAAAAAAAAAAGCGAAAAAGCAACGTTTAACTGCTCGCCCGTTCACGTAGACGCTATCATTCACCATAACCTGTTGCTAGGCTCTCCCTGGAATGCGCAAATATACCCGCGCTGATAGAGAGAATAAAATTACATTAAGACAACGGCGCATGCAGTCTCGCAGGTACCCAGAGTACCAGGAAGGTGGTGAAGCTAATATAGAGGGCAGACCAGAGGTCTATTGAAGATAAGTGCTAGATAATTATGTGAGACGTACAGTGTTCTATCCTGAGGGTTGTATGAAAAGGCATGTTGTTTTCGTATAAGCAATCACGTAGATGATGGATCGGACGCATTTGGTGGCAACTCTTTCATGCATCATTGTCATTTACTGTCGGCCCCACCGGTCAGGTCTCTCAGCATGGATACAGCGGGAGAACACGACGGCACATGTTCAGAATACACACTGACGACAAAACACATATAACAGCTGCAGGAGAGGACAGCCATTTCATTATGTTGAATCCGCATGTTACCCAGATACATACTCTGCTTTGCTTGGTCCGGATAAGAACTGTCTAGTGTATATCTGTTACATTTATACAGTTATACAGTTCTAGAGTGTATATCTGTTACATTTACATGGCTACACGTTTATAGTCCTGTATCTACTCAAAAGCTTCGTTTGCTGAATGCAGAAATTCAACGGTAATATATCGACCTACCTTTCAATTTGAAAAGAGATGAAGTAGTTAATGTTTATGATATGGGTTAGACGTAAGTATGATGTACGCGATGACATTTTGTTCATGTGGTGGAGTATCAAGATTGCTTCAATCACAAGGCACATGTTCCTAAACTCCATATATTCTTCAACGCATAACTCGCATGTTGTAAGCATAATGTGAGCTTGCATAATCGTAATAACACATAAGGAATACGGTTTTACCCTGACTTAACGTGGTCATGGTATTCTATCATATAAGGGGATAACTGTCTTCAACACTCAGCGGCACGCCCCATTAAACTGAGAGGTCTGTCAGTACTCGGTACCATTAGAGATACTGACTGGAACGCCGGCCTTGGCCTTACTATGGATTTCTGCGTGTGGTTTGAAAAATGAATGTCTTCATGTTAGTGAGCAGTCTTGGCATGCTATCTTTGAGCTAAACTTTGTTGGCTGTATCTGAGAAGCGCAATTCTCATGTATACATGGCGTGATGCTGACACAAACAACTACATTGCCCTACGCTGTTACACCTATATATATATCAACTGATTTCCACACTTTAGATCTTATAAATGAATTCCTATATATCTTAAAGAAGAGATAATCCGTACGGTGTGCAAATAGGGAAATACATGAATGAGGCTGCAGGTTATACATCTAATTTTGCCATTGACAAATATTCTGTACGTAGTTTGTCGCATGCATATATATAACTGTTACATCTCTCTATATTCTGTGCGTAGGATGACTCAATCCATATATGTATTTAGCTCTGTTAAATATTAGTTGTACACTGTGTTGTCGACCAGGCGAAAGTCCCTGTACTTTTGTTAATTGAGTCTTTGAGTCAATTAAGAATCACTATAGGGAAAACCAGGAGATAGAGGTCTAAAACCTGTCACCCTCCGAGATAGGGGTAGGTTATGTGTTGGAGTCTCCGATACGACAGACGAGTCCTCGTGGGGATGAAGACCAATTTTGGACGCACATGAGCAACCACAGATGCTGTGCAAGGGAAGGAATGGATGGGAGAGAAACGCTGTTCCCTCCACTCTTTCTTTTTCTTTGGCAGCTGCTCTGTTGGCCCAAAAGTCCTAGTACCCAGTGTACACTGGTTTCTCCAGACTGTTCTGTCATGGTCGATTGCTTCCCAGGAAATGACATCGATGTTACAGCTCCGAAGGTTTGCCTTAAGGTTGTCTCTGTATCTTTTGAGCGGTCTTCCCTGGTTCTGGTTCCAACGTTTTCTGGTTGCTATGCCCTTGCTAGGTTTAATATGTACGAGTACAATAACCGCTGTAAAGGAACCCGTGGTGGATTCCCACACCAGATTGATGATGTGTTCATCATCCCGACTTCCTGCGTGGCGCCGCATGCAGGCCAGGTCTTGTAGACTTTTTCACCCCGCTACTGAATCAAGTTGATGAAGTCTCCTTCAGGGGTTTAGTACGCTGTCACGACCGTAATCCGCGGCATTACGCGGAATGATGGAGTTTGCTGCACGCACGGAGGCTTCTCTAGTTGTCTATCTTCAGGTGTTCCCCGGAGGACCCACCGTCTTCCGTGCAAGTCTCGCCTCTAACCAGGGCAATTTAACCTGCCCGATGAGAGGGAAATGCCATGTTGCCATATCGCCCTGATGGAAAGGGCTTTACGTTTTATGGCTATTTCATAAATAAAGATTTTCTCCAACCCCCTGGGTACGATAAGATGGTATTGGGTGGAAATGCAGGCTTTACATGAAGATAATCATTTGCATTTCAGTGGGTCGATCAGATTTCTTTCTTCCTTAAAGAATAGAGCAAATTAGAGGCGGTGATATAGTCGCTACTTTTCGCTGTGTTTTCAGATAAAATCAAAATGCTCCAATGTCTTTCATTTTGGCAATTTGCAAGGCACCTGTAAATACAACCGTTGACACCTGATGGAAAAGAAACAAGATTACGATAAGAAATTGGCGGGATCTTTTGAAACGTTGTCATTAAGGATGAGATTCACGTCCCTCTGGCAGTGCACTTTCTATCCGGCCTGTATTTACAGATAGTTAGTTATTCCTGGAAAGTGGCTTTTATACCCTTCTGTGGATCCTTATCTATGCGTGGGCCGTGGTTTTTAAACTATAACCTCCGCTCAAGGGCATCAGTGCTGCCTCAAGGTGTAGTGCGTATTATATGATGCCCGTCTACTGACACTAAAGTTCAAGAATGTTCTCTCCATCGTTGTCTGAGTGGCGTTCAAAAACGGGAGCTCACAGATTCTTACAGAAAATCGAAAACAGATTACGCTCGGTCGTAGTGAGGTACGCAACAGTCGGTCGTACATTTCTATTTCATTATCGCACCCACAAAGCTGATGATATGGTAATGTAGATGTTACAAGAAGTCCCGTTTAAAGCTCCCTTTTCAACTAGAAGGCCCTTCACTGTTCTCCACGTAAAGCCTAACTCACTTCTACGCACCGTGCTTTTTGAATACTCGTAGCCAGTCACCGTGAGCCAGTCCGAACTGGATGTTACCGAATCAATCTTGTATCTGGGGCGGTCATGTAATGTCGGGAAATTGAAATGGAAGGGATAATCAATAGGTGTTACTGGGCTACAAGAATGTTCCCCTCTGATTTACGTCAGGGCTTGCTGCTACATTACAAATGTGATATTCTCCGTATGAACTTTCACGACGAACGTCTTATATATTTTTGCACAAGAAAAAAAATCCCATTTTGACGTTTACCTTCGCAGAAGGAAAACACACTGTTTTTCCTCTTCTTCTCCAAACAAATAAGGCCAATGACCTAAACCAGACGTCTGTCACCATGGTAACTGGTGTTGAGTTACATCATGTTGAAATTTTACAGCAGGACGGATTTAGACTCTGTCACGACATATACGACTTTGTAAGAATTAACAGAGCAGACCATATGCAAAGGTAAACATTATGCATTTGCTTTGCAAATGTTACCTTTCTAGTCTATAATGTTTATTTTTGTTTCCAGGTACTTTCCGACAGGAACGGCGGACGAGTTTTCTGAGCACGTGTTCAGGACGTTCGACATTAACGGGGACGGCGTGGTGGACTTCCGGGAGTTCCTGATGGCCGCCAGCGCCACGTCCAAGGGCACGGCGGAGGACAAGCTGAGATGGGCCTTCAGTATGTACGACATGGACGGGGACGGCTGCATCACCAGGGCGGAGATGGTCAAAATATTACAGGTGGGTCGGCGCGCGGCTAACTTCCGCTTTGTAAACGGCCGTCGCCTTTTGAAACGGTCGATGCCATATCGCAGAACGGCTAACTTTACATGCAGGTGTATCAGCACGGTCCATCCACACCGTGATAATTCATGGCGTCAAGGTTGGGGTATAGGTTAGGATTTTAGAGCTAGCTGCGATTTTTGACCGGGTTCGAATCCGAGTTTGTGCTTTCTTCTTTCACTAATACCCTTTTCATGATGATTAAGTTACTTTATTTTAATTTGCCACCTTGATTATACTGTTATTATTTTATTGTGTATGGGGATTGCCCCCCAGGGTGCATTATATTGAAAATCGCCCCTCCAGGGCGATATGTTCTCTGGTTAAATAAATAAACAATGATCCTCCCTTACATTTGCAATTCGAATGTTGCTTTCTATAGTATATATTACGTTTATACGTTTTTTGACCTAAAAAAAGTTATGATACGCTCGGATATGGCATCGAAAGGCGACGATCGTTCTGAAAGGCGACGACCGTTCTGAAAGGCGACGACCGTTCAGAAAGGCGTCGACCGTTCTGAAAGGCGACGACCGTTCTGAAAGGTGACGACCGTTCAGAAAGGCGACGACCGTTTACGACACGGAAATTTGCGTCGGCGCGGGGCAACGTGAAGTTCAGACGAGGCGGGGGGTGGGGGGTGGTGTCACATGGCACCGTGAAGATGGGCACTGCAGGTGAGAGATGCTCAAGTATGGGCACACATGCCGTAAAAGTGTTGTCAATGTGAGCGCTAACAGGCTTGAGTGTGGTGGTGGAGTATCTATCATCAGAAGTGAAATGGTTGAGACATTGCAGGTAGCTATAGGGAGGGCAGGCATTAACTTGAATCCTGAGGACGAGAGTAGTCTCCACCAGACTCCTTTGCAGGCTGAATACTAGTAAATAGTAGAAATAAGCGGCCAGACAGAGAGGGTCCACTTGCCTGCTCTGGCCGGCCAACTCCTCTGGCCAATGAAATCCCCATTTTTTAGGCCGATTTGCACTATTTATTCAGCATGCAAAGGAGTCTGGTGGAGACTAGGGCGAGAGCGTAAGCCTATACATGATAACCTCGCAATAGTTGTAATATTGAAAGTTATTACTGAAAATTGAAGACGACATTTGGTTTGTAATGAAAACATCTCTCGGTCAATGTTGTAAGTTCCATTCACCAGAGTACAATCCGTCCCACAGTCCATCCACAAGATGATGACGCCCCAGATGAGGACAGCCTTGCTGTCAGACAATTACTCCCCACAAGAACGGACGGACCAACTCTTCAAACTCATGGACGCCAACAAGGACGACGAGATCAACATCAACGAGTTCATCAGGGGAGCCCAGCAGGACAAGGACCTCATCGCCATGTTGACTCAAAACGTCGTGCAGTAGAAAACAAGGACAGCACTGAGTTTATATAGATTCTACTGATCTTTTTCCTTTTAGTTAGTGACTGTAGTTTGAAACATTTCCAACAGGGGTCGCCTTAAGTCTTTAACATTCTGCTCAGATAGCACGAGCGAAAGGTGATTAATGTGATGAAAGATCATAATCCATGGGGATATTAAATTTTTCGACACGTCATAACAAATCTGCTCCAGGATATCATTCTGAGGTAAGATTTACGGAGTTTCTTTGCTCGGTATGTCATCTCTTCTCCGAAGACGATTTCCCGAAGGAATGATATTTTCACTAGGATGTGTTGTTTATTTTAATTTGTTTGTTTGTTTGTTTGTTTGTTGGTAAGTGAATATGACAAACGCTTTGACATAATCTCTAGAATAATGGTGGGTAAGCATTAGAGTATGGAAAAATTAGTGGATGTTTTCGCTGTTAGAATATTTTTATTACTGATATCATATGATATGTATACGTAATTTATATTTTGCATTAGTTTTGGATATATTTCATGATGGTTAGAGTATTGCTTAGTATTGAATTTGGTACTGATACATCGATCATCATTGCTTGTACCATATATATCCGTTTTACAAACGGATTGGTAGATGGCGCTTCTGTATGTATGATTCGCGGTAAGCTTTTGCGTACATGAACAGGTGTTTTGGAAATGGAAGGGTATATATATTGAAAAGGGGAAACTATCAACGCGGATGCGGCTCTTCGTTTCTTTATATATGTAGTACTAGTACTCACGGAAAGTTTTGTAAACACAAAGAACTTGACATACAGAGTAGTTTGAAAACCATATGTGATATATAATGATACGCTTCCCTATTAAGTCCACATGAGTATGAATATCCACAAACACGTCAAAGGGAATGGAAAGATAGATGCCGACTTATTAGACTTTTGTAATAAACAACTTAGAAGTTGTAAATAGGGTTCATTAACTTGTGTCGCCCGAACTGTTATCTAACATACCGGCATCTGGCGTCACCGCGAGTGCAATTGACTCAATAGTAGGCATAGACATGTGCCTAGCTAGTATCGGCAACCGTTGGTGTACATGTATATGTCGTTACTGTCTGTTGTTAGAAATAAAAAAAGCCAAACGTACTTCCTTCTACATGTCGTTTTTTTAAAAAATCACAGTCCCAAAGCATCATGAATGTTAAAGGTAAAAGTACCGGGTAAACGGCTGCAAAATCAGACCATGAATACTAGTCAATACACACCCAATTACAACACATTACACTGCTCAGTCCTTATGATACGTTCTTATCAGATTAACACTTTAGGACGATGATATCGTGGGTAATTGGTATGTAACTGGCTTGATATGTAACTCGCTGAGGGCACCACTGATAAGAATTTGTCACACGACCCAAGTTTGTATCTTAAGTCCCTTCGGCAGCCGAATCTGATCTGATAAGATCTGGACTCAACCTCGACACGTAAATAACAATTTCATCATAATGGGTAGTGCTCCACACACTTTTGTGGAACTGTCGCAAGGGTCTGTGCGGTTGCCATTCAGTGCCACCAGGTGACCTCAAGACGGCTTTCCCCAACAGAAGTTAGGTTCATAGGAACAACAACTTGCAGGGTAAGTGACTTCAATAACATCCTTGCTCGTACCAAACGTTTATCTGTGCCCTCCCGACGATGCCCTTGGCAAAGACTCCCCCTTCCTCTTCTCGCCGCCTACTACCCCGAGCTGCGGTCCTTAAATCAACCACATGTGACATCTGGAAACAACGGGTATGGGCAAGGGCGCCCTTATAAAGCTATCCCGATCAATTCTCCGTTCTACAAGCGGTTTGGGGGCAGACACAGCTGCCGCGGCTCGGCAGACCGTTCTTACTTACAGCTCCCTGCTGAGTGTGTGTTTAACTACCACCAAGAGTTGTATATCATCACCCGGACCAAGCACAAGGTCGGCACAGAACATACTACTGTTCACTAGAGACTGCAGGATGTAGTCAAGGCCCCAGCGAAAAGGTGCGTATGTACGTTTACATTTGCGCTGTTTTAATAGGTTTCTGTTTTTATAACTTGTTAAAGTAAAGCATACGGTGAGTGAGTTGCCTCCATACCTGTCACAAGTATGTACGCGACAATTATATATACAGAGGGATTAAAACAGAATAGATTTAGAAAGATCTAGAAGTGAGATCTAGACCTGCGCTTGCATGGCAACGCTTGTTTTATTGTGGCGCATATGCCATGTCCATACCACACTATTAGATTGCCTTTATTATATTGAGTTTTACCTGAGTTCCATATCATCACAACGCTTCCTCGAATCTTCGAGGGACATGCGAAACTACGCATCAGTTTATAATCCAATACATGTACGCACTGCTGTTCAAGAGGTTTCTAGTCTGTATCTGTATTTGTTCAAAGCGATGACATAAGAGCCGGCGATGATATGTTTTCATCAACAATGCCCAAATATGTTTATAGGTCATGTATTCCAACAATGTCAGGAAGGTCTGTACGAGGTCGGCTTCAAACACTCTTGTCCCCCGCATGTATACGCTTGTCACTCGTCGAAAATGGAATGACATCAACCACATTGATCGATGTTGTAAGAATCGTACGTGTATATCATAACTAGCCTTCTGTGTATCAGGTCTATCGATTCGTATTTACGGCCATTGTTAGTTTTGTTCACTGCTTTCACCCATATCATGAAAAGACAGTGTCTCTTCGCTGCTACTTCCCCTCAGAGAAGACAAAAAATGTCTTAAGCAAATTTTCTGTTTAGCACATTATACATAAGTGGTGAAAGTTGAAAAACAAATGCCCTGTTTGTTTGAAATACAGATATTCCGTCGAGGATGGATTTCAAGAGAACAAACCATACATTTTCTCAGAGAATTTCGGCTGTAAACAGAAAACTTGACAATCCCAGCTAAGTGTGACCAGGTTCCGGGTTCAATACGTCAGTGGCAGAAGTTAAGAGCTTCGCGTAGGTGGTCTGTGTTCTATCGATCATCGACTTCGTAACACGACTTGTTAAAAGCTACCGAATTTGACATGCGCTGTTGTAGCGCTCTAGCTCGTCGTCATGCAAATTATTATTAGCTCTTAATAAGGTCCAGGTTAAATTCTTTGCTTGAAGCCGTTTGTTAAAATTTTATACTATTTTTTTACATCCGTATAATTCTTATCTCCCACCAGGGATCCAACACGCCTAGTGTTGGCTTGTCTTTTTATACTGTGGTTCGGTGCGCTACAAGCGCCATCTCCTCTTAGCCACCATTGGCAAGGACACCCAATAGCCTCTCGTCCCGCACGAATTGGTCCACTTCAGCCAGACGGGTTGGCAGCTGCCGGGGTGTCACTGCCAAGAACCAGTAGCCAGCCGCGCAACATGGGCAAGAGTGGCAGCAAGCTAAACAAGAAGACGCTGCAGGACCTCATAGAGAACACAAACTTTTCCGAAGAGGAAATCAAGCAGCTGTACAAGGGATTTCACAGGGACTGCCCGACTGGCAAGGTCACGCTCAAGGAGTTCAAGTACATATACGGGAGGTAAGCTGGATATGCTCAAAGTTGTGGGTCAACGACTCCAAACTAACGGGTAACTAACGGGAAAGGGATATCTAAAAAAAGATGAAGATGACTGTATTACCCACTTTTGTGTTAAGATACGACTAATTATAAGGCACAAGGACTTTTGTAAGGTCTTCTACAAACATCTTCAAATCATACAAAAGTAAATATTAACAGATTATATATCAAAGTCAAATGAAACCATTGCAGAAGTGTGGCATGAACTAGCGCCACTTCTAGAGGCGGCCACAATTAGCAAAACAAACACAGACGATCTTGGTCATCGTTCATCTTGCACATCATACCATGGCGTCATAGTTTTCGTCTATAATTGCCGACAGCAAGTCGTAGCAATACACCGAGCTTGTGACCAATTCTGGCTCAAAATAGCCACAGCAAATCATCCCTAGGACACGATGTATTTTCCATATACATTGTACATGGCGGCCACATGTTTGGTATTGGGACTCCTCTAGACTGTAATGGTAAAGGGCCGTGTCTACAGCCGGCGTTTTGCTACCCAAAATAACCCTACATCATTCGTGTCTTACGGCCAGGATTATGATGGATTGCTTAGAACTCTTCCGACTGGTCAACTAACGTGAGAACGCACATGTCTAACACGTGATACATGTATATCATTAGCCTCTACCAGGTTTCGGGAGGCGGCTGGAAAGAGTAGAAATCGGCCAAATAGATAGCATGCCAGGGAAGTTGGTCTGCTGGGAGAGAACAGTTTGCCGCTCCCGAACTCCCCCGGCATGTTATCTCTCTATTTGGCCGATTTCTACTCTTTCCAGCCGCCCCCCCGAAGCCTGGTAGAGGCTAGTACATCATTGTTTTCAGCAGCTGGAGTTTATCCTTTTAGATATTTATGTTTGAAAGACGACTTAGACATGACAAGAAGAAGATGTTTGTAAGCCTTAATTAGCCAGAAATTTGACCGTGTGGGGTCGTGTGGCGTAGCGGCAGAGCGCTCGACTCGGAACCAAGAGGTCCCGGGTTCAAGTCCTGACATGTCACCAATCTTGTGCCCTTGGGAAAGGCACTTAACACGACTTACTTCACTTCGCTCAGGTGAAAATCTGTATTGTATTGTCCCCTGTGTTGGTGGCGGCATTAATATAAGTTGAAAAAACTTGAATGTGCCCTCACTACGTCTTGTGATTACATGTTGGAATTAAAAAAAATTCGATCGTGCATTTTACAGATTCTTCCCATCGGGGAACGCAGACGACTTCGCCAAGCATGTCTTCAGGACGTTCGACACCAACAAGGACGGGTACGTCGACTTCTCGGAGTTCCTGACGGCCGTGAGCATGACGTCACGGGGCAGCGTGGAGGACAAGCTGAGATGGACGTTTGGGATGTACGACCTGGACAAGGACGGTTTCATCACCAGGGACGAGATGCTCAACATTCTGGAGGTGAGGTTTTTATCACCTTGTGAAGGAACCTCGTAATATTAGTTTATCAGGTCTGCGACGACGATAAAGTGATGAAGATATGAATCATATCATCAATCATAATTTTCAGTTTCTCCAGAGATTTTGAGTTGGCAAATCTGAATAAAACCCTTACGGAGAAGGATATTTTTCGTTTACATCAGGATAAAATTATCCGGCTAAGCCCCGCCAAAGAAATTTAGACGCCAGGTAGAAACGGTGTCTTTTTTTGCCAAGAAAGGAGAAGACTCTCAATGACTCCTCTGTATAAAGTGATAATGACACACAAAATGACACATGGCTGTACGATTGTGCTCCAGGCCATTTACGATATGATGGGGCCTGAAGTCATTGAGTCCCTTCCACCAGAGGAGAGGTGTCCCGCGAAAAGGAGAGACAAGATTTTCGAGCTGCTGGACCATAACGACGACCACATCATCACCCTGGAGGAGTTCCTAGAGGGAGCGCAGAGAGACAAGGCCCTGGTGGAGGTCCTGACCAACGGGATATTGAAGAAGTGAGAGAAAAAAACTTCACCTGTATCCAGTCCTGAGCGTTGGCAAATTATCATAGAAAAGGTGTTTCCTACACCTTTGAAGAAGTGAGAAAAGCTTCACCTGTATCCAGTCCTGAGCGTTGGCAAAGTATCACAGAAACGATGTTTCCTATATTCTTATCAATGGCAAGTCAATAGATGACTCAGTTCTATGAGTATTGTGGTCATAAATTTTAACTCATTGAGATGTTGATTTACATTGTCCACCTGATAGCGACTTTACCATAAATGTTTTTCTGTCTTTACTTTGCTTCTGTGCTGTCTTTTGTACTTTTACCTTTGCATACAGCATAGCTGTGTAAGAGCTAGCACTCTTTTACAGTGCACTATTATTATGCAAGGCTAAGGCTCCAGGGGCTTCAGTTTAGGGAGCAATTTAGGTAATCATGTTTGCTTATATAGTTCTCAGATTTAATATCTGAGGCAACCATTGCAAGGCCTTATATACATGTACTTATTGCAGTAGATGTGATGAAGAAAGATTAATATTGCCAGATTTTCCTGCAGTTTCTTTCCTGTTACACAAGGATGCACACACACACACACACACACACACACACACACACACACACACACACGCACGCACGCACACACACACACACACACCACTGATGGAGAATATGTCTTTCATTCACAATGAAATGTGTCACACATTTTCCTCAATCTTATGATGTCATTTTGTACTTTTCCGACAATAATCTCTTACATAATCAAGGTCATGAATATCACACTGATTCACACTTACTCTGATGCAACACAGATATTGCCTGTACAGACATATACCACAGTATCTCTTGATTCAGCAGCATGGTGTGTTATGGACCCTCACAAGGACGGAAACTCAGGCCAGACCCTCCACTGCCTGTAGATGGAATGATATCAACTGTTCAGCCATTGTCAATATACTGTTGCTTGGAACCATATGTATGGCATAAACAAAGTGTCAGGCTTTAATTTGGAACAAATGATGGGAATTATACAGTAGTGCCAAGTTTGAGAAAAGTGGAGAGCAATTGGGCATAAATTTTACATGTAATGCTTGTGATGCTCCTATATATACATGCCACTTACCCTCAATATAAGCCTTGAGAAGGATGGTGTCGGCAATGTTTTCCCCTGAATCAGATGACAAGTAGGCAGGGACCAACATGTACACATCTCCTTTGTGTGACATCACCTCAACGTCTTGTGCTCCTGGGAAGAAAAGTAAACTTCTTTCAGCCATGTTACCTCAAGTCTCAAAAGGCCTTGTTAAGAAATGAATGAAGTCCTCATGATTAGTCTTGATCCAAGAATTCTTCACAGAAAATAAACCTGACATACTGAAGTAAATAATGCTGTAATGCAAACATTACTCTATGCAGGTGCATAACGAAAAAAAAAGAAAGATAACATAAAAACAAAACCAGAAACTAAAATACTTGTTGATATTGGTGGATCTGATAACTGCAGTATGTTGGGTAAACCTTGTAGGTCCAGGTAGAAGGGATCCTGAGTGAAGGCATTGACACCTGCCCACTTAAACAGGCGCACCCTTCCATCAGACACCACGACAGACAGGTACCAGTTACCTGGAGAAGCAGGCACAGTTACAATTCATGGTACAAATGTATAAGACTAGTCATCATCAGCATCATCAGTTGGCTGCAAGTTCCTCTACTTTCCCTTGTTGCTAGCAAAGTCAGAGATTTGTTTCACAGATAGTTGGTACTCAACATCAAACTGATAAATGGTATAATTATATCAGACATAGCCAAAATGAAAAAGTCAGTGGAAATCGTGTTATAGGTTCAAGACAGACATGAAATTTGTATAGTATCGTTCGATTATTAACAGGACAAAATAGTGACATCTCACCGTACGCAGAAAAGAATTCCACATCATATGCTCCTGGAACCTGAAGGGTTTGTAGAATAACGTCCTCGAACTGGCCTGCAAAACTGTCAAACCTGCCCAAAAAATGTAAAGGCAATGTCTCATCAGTAGATCAATAAAGGACTGATATTCCTTATGTTTAGGCATTCTGAAGGGACTATTACTCTACTCCTACTGTTCTGACATGAAGAGTAGTTATCATTGATACACGGCTTTGATATAAAAAGAAGAGGGCTGTACCTGTATATAATGACAGGTGAGATCATGTCAGGTGACTCCCTGGGGTTGTGTTGTGCCCAGGCCACAAACATCTTCCCTTTTATCTCAAACAGATCACAGTCCACAGCATAGTAGGTGGGAAATTCATGGAGCAAGTAGAACTGTAAGAAAGCAACAAAAAATTGGCATGTAGTGATATCAATAGGAGCTCCAGCAGTAAAATTTCTGGAGCAACCCTGGTGAGCCCAATATGACACATACCACTGAAAACAGAAGATATTATTACCCATTGCATTAGCACCTATGAGAGATAAAATTAACTTGTACACAAATGTGACTGACCTGTTCTCGAGCAGAATCCCATACAAAGACTTGTGACATCAAGTGTCCAGTGTCCCTGTCCGAGTCGTGATGATTGGCCACACACAGGTAGGTGGTGCTGTCCATCTGCAGGACGTCCATGGCAGAGGCACCGACCGTTGATAGGGACTGCACCCAGGTGAAGGCAAAGTCATCTCCCTGTCTTATCATCTTGTAAACTGGAGAAAGGAACAAATTTTCAAGTCGGTGTATGTCAAGCTGAATTGTTGCAAAACATCACAAAACCAACTTCTGTGCAGGCCAGGAAAATATTTCAAAAGCTTCTGAATATATTTCCTAACAGAACGATATTTCACTGTCATACTTTAATAAATAGAGATAAGCATGTCCATTCGATGTCATTACCAGCAGATGGGGTGTTGCTAGACTTTATCTCCTCGTCGTAACTATTGGCGACGACCAGGTACACTCCCCGTGCCGATCCGAACATGACCAGGTCGGTGGCTCCCCTGGTGGGGATGACCATGGGGCTGTCTGTGACAGGACTGAGGATGACTGACACCTCGTCATACGGGGAGGCAGGAGGGAGGAAGTCCAGACAGGCCAGGGTCCCTGAACCACGGTTCAGCCAGATGATGAACGGCATGTCGTGTACTGTGTAAAACTGGGGGAAAAGGTACCAAAACCATTGACTTGACAGTCTGCAGAAAGTCATCCTTGCCAAACGCTGCCTAAATAGTCTTCATACATTGAAGTTTTTGTTTTGCATTCGGGCAGACAAAATGAGCAACAAAACAATCTTTCATCTATTCAAAATGGTCTTACCTTGCCATACACTGTCTAAAAACCTTCACTAAATGTATTTTACATTGAAATGTAACTTGTAGTACATACAACATGTTTGTGTGTAACATGATACATTGTTATTTGAATGATAATACCAGGTATATATGTCATTTGGCACACAGTCATTACCAAATCCCAGTCTTTTTTATAATAGTGAATCACACAGATGTATCTGGTGAGACTTTTTAATAAGTAATGACAAGTAGTCCTATACCTCAATGCTGCTGGGGTTGTGAGTTGGTAAGCTGAGTTCAGGGAAAGGTAGACAGTGCGGGTCCCCTTCTCCACATATGTACCCCAGACTGGCTGAGCAGGGGTCACTGTCTCTGTCAGCATTGGGTACAGGAGTTAGGACAATGAACCAGTAGTCCCAGTTTGGGTCTGGCTGGAAGAACGACCCTTTGACTGCCCCGGGTGTTTTGATGGTCTGGATTATGTTGAAGTAACCAATTTGCTGAGGCAGGCCTGTGGAATCAATGAGTGAAAATATGTACTGGTTTAAATATTTTTTTTTTCATTTCTACATGTTACCTATTGGTTAGTGAGACCTAAGAGAAAAGGTCTACATCTTAGGCTCAATTAAATCACTAGACTTCAAGTAAGTGTTGTGCATTGTAAGTATTGTCATTGAGACAAAATGACACAGATAATATTTCTTTATTCTGTTTTATTCTAACCACTGTCATCTGACACCCATACTAGTATTCATGGGAGAAACACCATATGTAAATGTATAGCAGAAGCGTTCTTACATTATATCATGTGGCTGGAAATGGTTTGTTATCCTCAGGATACTGAGATTATATTAAAGTACTACCTGATGTCCTGTCAATCAGATCATTGATGACAGGACAGAGATCTTGAAGCTGGTGTCTGAAGTTGCCCAGCTGACTGTGTTTGGGGTAACAGAAGTCTGGCAGGTCAGGAATGGCAGAGAGGTTCAGTCCTTCCACAGGTCCATGCAGGGTGACATCTCCATGGATGAACACTTTACCACCAAAGGTTATACTCTCATTATACGTGTTGCTCTGAAACTACACAAATATACACCATGGGCTGTAAGAAAATGGTGTATTTTTTGTATCATAAAAGGACTTTCCTGGTTGATCAGGTAATAAAACAAAAAGCAATAAAAATAATTGCTGGTAAATAAAAATGTCATAATATTGTGATTCTTTTTTTTTAAATTATTCACTCAACAGAAAGTACAGGGACTTTTGTATGGTTTCTACAACTAAAGATCTAACAAAGCTCATATAAAGCACCTTAAAACATATCATCTAGATAATTGGAATAATAGTTAAACACACCTTTTCAAGTGTTTTGAAGTGTTTGTAAACAACTCCATACAGCCGATCCAAGTTGATGCCATATAGTTCTTCAGTCTGTAGATTTTTCTCAATGATGACATCACCTACAAATGTCTTCTTGCCCCCGATGATCTGGTCTTCTCCCACATTGACAAAATCTTCAGGAAACTTGAACCCGTTCACAGTCTGGTCAACTTTCAGGCTGCCTGTGGACAATATAGAAAAACTGAAATGAGTGGATTGAATCTACAAAATATATTTATGGTACACTTAGTCTAAGAAAGTTGTGTTAATAAAGTGACTGACACTACCAGTAAAATTATAATACTTCAAAAAAGATAAAGAAGTTCATCAAAAGTGGATGTTATTTTTACTTAAAAGTGCACATCCATTGTAACAACTGTTTCAGGAGAATGTTGAGAGATGTACATGACCATACAATCTACAATGCTGGCTCTACTATGAGAGACAATGTCACAAATGTGAACTTGCCAGTTATTTCCAAGTCCTTGAATGTGACCTGTCCTGAAATCTCCTGATCAGTGGACAGGGTGACGACCCTACTGGCCAGTGCGGACACGTCAACCCCATCCACCAATCCTGTCACAGCTACACTGCCATCCACCTCCAGGTCTCCAGCAAAGGTGACGGGGCCAGAGATGTTCTGATCAGTGTGCAGAAGGACTGCATCGCTGATGTTTATTCCATTGATGAGCCCTGCAAAATAAATAACACATAATTTCTTTAAAGCAAAAGTTACAATAGTGCCAGTTTATACTGCAGTGTTCAGAGTGAAGAGACATGGTAGACAAAGTGACATGTTTAAGAAATGGTATAGTCATACCTGGAATAGTCATGTCACTTTGGACAACTAAGTTGTTGGCAAAAGTTTTGTGTCCTGAGATGTCCTCGTCCCATCCTTGATGTACCATGTCCTTGTACAGCTCTGAGATGTCTACTCCATTTATGGTGCCTCCAGAGTTCAGTACAACATCACCTGTGAATAGCACAAGCAGGGAAGGCAACATCAACAGCAAGGTATGTAATGTTATAGGAGAGCAGCCATGCAGCATGCAGTGTGTTCTTGGAATAAGTAACTTTAAAAGTATTCAACAAGTCAGTATAAATGCTGATAAATACAGATACTACATCACATGTGTTTCGCAAAGTCTACTAATCTCAGGCATTATTGCAAGCTCTTTCCAAATCTCAAAATTCCTCTCATGTAAGACACCTGGCTAGGTTCCTTGTTTTCATGCTGCAGTACTGTCCAGCACAGCTAGGAGCTTACCCTCAACACGGAGGTCTCCCTTCACAGTCAGTCCATCTGGATGTGAGAAGATGACCTGAGGGGTTGAGACGGTCTGGTTCGCTGACTTCAGCATGGTATTGTGTAGAAAGTCATGCATGTTCACCTCATTGATTGTGTTCACCTGAAGAGACAAATATAAAAATTAATACAACATGTAAAATGCCATTCTTTACCACATACATTGTAGATACTAACCATTATTTCCTAAAAGATGTTAGCCTTTGGAAATAAAGCTGCATTATTAAAGCAAATATTCTAAAATAACTACAATGACTGAGTATGGCTCTAAAGACAAGATAACAGAACAAAGGCATAGTGTAACTCACTTGAAGGTTGGCAATGTTCAGATCTCCCTCGATCACAATCCTGCCATGTATCTGCTGGTCTGCAGTGATGGTCATCAGGGAATTGCAGAATTTCTCCCAGTCTACGATGTTGTTTGTTGACCCATCAATGGTTACATCACCGGATATGGTCAAGTTATGAAAGGTTTTGTTACCCCTGATAATCTGATGGTCTGCGTTCAACCGCACGGCTGAGGCATTTAACTGGGAGAAGAAGAAACAAATTTAACTGGGAGAAATGGAAACAAATTCAATGTCATTTTTCTAAAAGGCAAAGAATGTGAACACACAAAAGCTGTGTGCATTGAATAAACTTATGTGTGTTCACATCACAAAAATGTGAACACACACAAGTGTACTTCATGACATCTATTGATGGCTGCCGAGGAAAAAAGGGCACAAAACTATATTTTTCCCTACAGCACATTTTGAACATATCAGACGTCATTCCGACGTCATTCCGCAAATATCACTGGCCTGCTGTGTTAAATACACATCATTTCTATCATTACTTTGATAGGAGACAATTGAATACTGTTAATTTTAAATGAAACAACATCATTAGGGAATACATGAGGAAGGATCTGACATACACGATAAAATTCATGAAATGAGATAAAGGCATAATCCTGGAGAAGCAGTAACAATAGTTATTGTGAAAGGAAATGGAAGGAGTTATAACATCTCACTTCAGTGAGGTTGACTCCATCGATGAGCCCGTCCACAGTGAGACTACTGTTGATGTAGACTGTGTTGTAGAAGGTGACGTCACCGTACACAGTATGGTTCCCTGACAGGGTGAGGGCCTGTGACAGGTTCACCCCGTCTATCAGACCACCCCCAACAATGTTCAGGTTGTCTGCACATACCCAAAATATAACACATCAGCATTTCTCTACATCTAAACCCACTTTTAAATCTGGGTATTCAGAATAAGCTGCCCGGTCCGGTTTGCATAAACTGCTGGCCAGATCCTGTCCGAGTGCGGTTACGGGGGTTTCGAGTATTGCATGCGGAGGAGCAAGCTTTTCTGTGTGTGGCTGTGCCCCCTCGTAGAAAGCATTGGAATCTCAAAATCAAAATCTTTAAATCTAGTGAAGAATAGGCCAGCATAACTGTTGTATGTTGCAGTACCAGTAACCAGTACCATACTTGAGTATACTAGATCTGTAACTCAGCCACTTTTATTCATAGTAGCAATGAATCACCCTCACCACATGTGAAGCTGTCGTTGAAGGTTTTGTGTCCACTGAGAACCTGTGGTCTGGACTTGTACAGGACGGAGTTGCTGAGGTTTAAGATGTCGACTTCGTTCACCTCATCCACCTCAAGGTGACCCATAATCACCACATCACTGGGGGAATGACAGAAAATTCAGCATTTTTACTCTTACTCTTTAAATTCTTTAAATCAATTGTCAACATCACTATAGCTGCATTGTCTTGTGGACTGAAATGATCAGCACTGCTACCATGAATTTGTAATAAAAAGAAGGTTGGCTGGTGTGGTGAGAGATCTCTAGTACAGGACCTCCCAGGTATACACAGTTTGGACATGCATTTTATGATGAATTGGAGATATATCTAGACACATTTTTAGGGCGTCAAATACACTGTATATTTGACCTAGTGGAATTGTGTTAGCAGAAATGGAAATTAATACCAAAAGTTCAAAATGTAAGGATTAATAAAAGAAATTGACCTACAATGATCACACTTCCACATGTAAGTTAATGTTGAAGTCAACCATGTAAGTGCATTACCCAGAGAAAGTCTTGCTGCCCATGATGACTTCATCTGACATGTGGACCACCTCCTCAGCAAACTGGGCCAGGTCCACTCCGTTTACTGTGTTATTTATCTCTACATCCTCCCCCAGCAACTCAACATCATCCATGAATAGAAAGTCTCCTACAGGACAAAATTTAGAGTGTTCATGTATGTTTTTGTCATTGGACTTTCAGTGTACTTTGTTGAGCAATATATTGGTCTCTATACAATTAGAATGATAAAATAATGAAAGACATGAGGATGTGTCGAATTTCAGCTTAATTAGGAATATTGCAGCTGATGTAAAAGAAAAAACAAATTCTCAAATTCTTAAATCATATCAGATTTTGGATTCTTTGATATTCAGTAATCAACCTTTCCAAAGAACCTTTTCAAAATAATAGGGATAATAGAAATAATCTGAATTATGCAGTAGAAGTGTCACCCTCCAAGACTTGGTCAGTAGAGAGAGTAACCACAGATTCTGCCAAGTCTTCCAGGTCCACCCCATTCACTAGTCCCTCCACAGTAAGGTCACCCAGTACTGTGCAGAGAAAGAAAATGTCAACATTAGAAACACAAAACCAGATCCTATACCAACAAAACAGATTAAACTAGTGAGAATTAGGAGTCAGAGTAGAAACAGGAAGACACTCCTGGTCCCAGGCCGGGGATCAAACCCACACCAAACCTGGGCACCAGCTTACAACCCCAATGCTCTAACAATTTAGCTAAAAGGTCTAGACCCATCGGCCGGGTCAGCTGGTAGCGCCTATAAACCCCCCACTGTTACATAGTAACTAATTGTACAGTAGCTGTATTGCAAACCAAGCCATGATTAAATCAAATACCTCCAGGATATGTTAATTTCCATCTGACTGTATAGAATTGTATGTCACGATGTATCAAGTATTCCACCACAAATACAGACTGTACCTTCTATGTCAGAGAGGAAGGTCGTCTGTCCTGTGATGTTCTGGTCCCCCTCCACCATGACAGCGTTCTCGGCCAGTTGCACAACATCAATGTCATTGATAAGTCTGTCAGTAGTGCTGACTTCTTCAGCGTACAGGTCACCCATCACGTACACATCATCCAGGAAGATCTTGTGTCCTTTTCAACATTGGTTCAATCTATCAGTATAGACATTCCATAGAAACATAATTCATCATTTTTTGCTATATAGTAAAGGCACAAATAACATTTACATTAAAATTTGTGTATATACATTTAGGTTTTCAATCACAAACTACAGCAACATTGGATTCAGCAATATTAATTCTATCAGTACATATAATTCTAACATTTACATGTAAAAGTAGCCAACATATTTTCTGCACAAATCATGATTACCTGTTATGATCTGGTCTCCATGTTTCAACACCAGGTCTTCTGGTATGTTCAGTCCATTGAACAGTCCCTGTACTTCTATGTCACTGAACGTGACGTTCCCAGCAAACTGCACTTCTCCAGCAATGGTCTGGTTACCGTGGACTTTCACCACGGTCCGGTCCACCTCAGAATAGTTCACCCCTCCCACAGTCACCCCCTCTGACAACACCAGGTGTCCTGCGATGTCCACGTCACCGTCCACCTGCCAGCTCCCGCTGATCACCTGGTCTGTTGCTGTGGTAACCAAGTTCCCGGGTACCTCTTTTCCGTCCAGCAGGCCGGAGATGTCAAGGTCACCCAAGGTCAAGTTCTGAGGGACGATAATGAAGACGGTGAAAATAGAATTGTTGTCTGCTCTTGCCACAAATATCAGAGATATCAACTCTTACCAGAATGCAATGGCTGTTGAACAGAAGTATTGAACTTGCCATGTTTAATCTATTTGGAGCATCAAAATGTACAAAATATTTTGTACATTGATCTATGATCGGTTGGAGTCATAGCCAGCCTAAATAAGACAGAGGCTGTTCAGACTGCCAAAAGAACTGTTAACACACAGTTTAGTAAACATAATCAACCAAGCAGTGCATCTAAGTTCATCTAGTGTCTTAAAATGACTGACAAATTTTGGTAAGGTTGAAGAAAAATATGCCTTCTGCGACTGATATTCCCTCTCCTTGGTGTTGAAAGTAGTAACAGTTACATATATATCAAGTGCCAAAGCAAAGTTGCATTGTAGAAGTATAGTATAACCTAGAAAAAACATCAGGCTGATAGAAAAAGCAGATGCTTCACCTCAGCATGCTGAGGATGACTGACGACAACGACTATAATAGTGGATAAAAAGTGGTACAAGATCTAATGCTACATACCTTGAACATCATCTTTGTAAGGATGGTTTGGTTGCCTGACTTGGTAAAGACTTGCTCTGCAAACTCAATAATATCAACACCATTCAATGTGCTGTTCAGGATGACATCACTAGCATTCACATCGTTTTGGAAAATTACAAAGTCCTCAATGATGGTTGCTTCATTCTTCTTGGCTGACTTCTCTGCTAGTTCAGAGACATCCACACCGTCTATGGTCACCCCTTCAGACATGTCCATGTTCCCCACAACAGTGATGTTGTTTGTGAAAGTCTTGTGTCCTGTGAACACATGAGACACCGAACTGAGTAGTGTCTCACCAAAAGGTTTTATAGTTGAACGTCTTGCTTCAAGTGTGGAAATTGATGTTACTCCATAAAGCAATCATTCTTGTCCTTTAACATCATTCTGTATTTAATGAAGTAACTAATCTTTTTATCAAACAACCACTTATCAAACTCTCCAACCTGTTATATTCTGTTCTCCATACACTAGAACTGCATCCTGGGAAAGGTCAATCCAGGTCACATGCCCATCCTCAGTCCAGCCCAGGCTGCCTTCCATCTCAACGTCCCCACTCACATGCAAGTCTCCAGTTATTGTCTGGCAGTGCCAGATAGCAACATAGAATTATAACGTTAAATGTCATGTTTGGAGAATTAATAAGAAAAAAAATAATAAACTAAATCAGTCTCTAACATTAGTAACAATGAAACTTTACTACTTTCCACAAGATAACACCTTAGTAGACGTTACCTGTTTGTCTCTTCAGGTCAGCATCCAAATTTGTGAGAACTGTTTGGGGGAAACAGTGATTGATGAAAAGTGTCTACTCACCCAAGATCCTGTCACCTCCTGGTCAGTAGATGTGGTGACGTAGTCGTCAGGAACAAGATAATCATTCAACTGTCCTTCCACTGTCATGTCACCAGTTATGTTCAGCAATAAGCCTTGGGAAACCAAAAAGAGGTAATGTTGAGAGTGCACATGGATCTGATGAAAGACCATATTAAAAGGAAAATGTAGATGGCTGTTCATCTAAATACTTTAAAAAAATCTTTCTAGCAAAACTAGCATTGTCTGTGGACCTTCTTACCTTTAGTCCCATTGAAGATTTGCACACCTAAATGAAAAGACAAAAATAACTCATCAACAACCAGAAACTAATGTGATATTATTATTTATTTTCTTTACTTGGAATTGAAAGAAATATGTTATGTTTAAGATGCTTTAAGTACGAGTTATGTCCATTAAATCTGACACTTTTTAATTAAGATCAATATAGTGACCAATGGAGGAGGCTTCTTAGCAAACTCCAAATACATGTTAACCATATTAACTCACCATGGATGACTTGATCAGTGTCCTTGTACACAGCTTTGTCAGCCAAATCAACAATGTCTACTCCATTCACCAGTCCACCCGTCAGCAGGTCACCGTCAATTGTCAGGTTGTCAAATATCAGTGAGCCATTGATGGTCTGGTTTTCATTCAGGAGGACAACTTGGCTGGCAAACTCTGAAACGTCTATCTGTAAGACAAATGCAAAGAGAGTGTCTAGGGATTTTTAGTCCCAAGAAGGCATGGAAGCAAGACTGGAGACAGTTAATATAAATAATGCTATGCTTTAAATCAAATTCCAGAGATAGAAATGCTTCATGACACTACAGTATGTGTTTCAGTGGTGTGTGTTTGTTTAAATCAAACATATAACAGTCAATTGTTTGTGTGCATCAATCACAGACTCTTTTACCTCTAATGTGACAAGGAATCAAACTCTATCATTCAAACATGGCAAGTTGTTAAGCCATGGGTATAATACTAGCTAACCACTTACCCCATCTATTTTGCTGTTCAAGCCCATCTCCATATTACCATCCACAGTGACATTTGCATCAAACGTCTTCATGCCTGCAATGTCCTGGTCTCCATACACAAGAACCAGGTCTGACGGTATCTATGCACAAAGGGAAACCAAACAAAACTAGGTGTTTCGATTTGAGAGTGAAACATATCTAATTGGCAGACAATGCATTGAGAGCAACTGACTAGGTCCCGAACAAATCAAACCAAACCAGTTATGAATGTTTCATTTGTGTGATAACAGAAAACACAGTACATGAAAGCTTTTCATTCAATCAAACAAAGTGTGACAAATCATAAAAACTGTCCAAAATGGGTCAATATCCAGTACTGGTATCAATATAAAGGATATAATAACCAATAATCGCATTCTGATATTCTCTCTCCTTGGTGCTGAAATGCGATCATCCATGTGATTATTTTGTTCTTTGCAATTTTGTGACATCACAAACACTGTTATTGGACAATACATCTGACAGCACAAACCAAGAGGCCGTTGACTTCTCCTTTGACTTCTACGTCACCGTTCACAACAATTGCTGGGGACCCAGAGAAGGTGAACTCTGCTGTCAGATTGCTGTTCCCATGGATCAGCACCAGATCATCTGAAACAAGGGATACCACATGGCAATCAAAATTCAGTAAAAATATATCAGGACATTGCAACAGTTACATAACAATGTTTGTATATGGTATAAAATTTATTATGTTTACCAACATATTCGTTTTTGCTCTGTTTCCTCTTCTTCTCTAAACCAATATGGTCAATGACCTGAACCAGACATCTGTCACCATGGTAACTAGTGTTGGGTTACATCACGTTGCAATTTTACAGCAGGAGGGATTTAGACTCCTGTCTGACCATACATATGAATGTGTTTTGAGTAAGAATTAACAGACCATATCTGAAGGTAAACATTACATGTATGCATTTGCTTTGAAAATATTACCTTTTTAGTTTTGCATTTACATGTAGTTTTAAAATCTCACGTACTGACTGGTTAACACTAACCCATTGAGACATTATTGGTAGTTCCAGAGACCTCGACATCCCCAGCTATGTTGACATCACCATGGATGATCAGATTTCCCTGGATCTTCTGGTCTCCAGTCCTCTTCACCACTGATCTGTCCAGTTCTACAAAATCCATGCCATTCACCAGTCCAGACGTCGTCACCTCTTCAACAATAAGCTCTCCAACAGTCAAACCCTTAGCAAAGGTCTTGGTACCTACCGTAAGTGAAAACACATGCTACATGAACATTTGAATACAGGTACGGTTCTTAGGAGCATGCATGCTCTGTGTAAAATCTATTTACAGCATCAACATGTACAAAATTTCTTGCAAAATATATATGTACACCAATATATTTTGTAACCTATGATCGGTTGGAGCCATAGCTGGCCTGAATAAGACAGAGGCTGTTCAGACTGCCAAAAGAATTGTTTGACACATGGTTTAATAAACATAATCAACCAAGCAGTGCATCTAATTTCATCTAGTGTCTGAAAACAAGTGACACATTTTGGTAAAGTTCAAGAAAAAAATGCCGTCTGTAACTGATATTCCCTCTCCTTGGTGCTGAAGTGCAATCACCCATATAAACTAGGTACTCTTTGGGGAATTTTGTGGTATTGTCTAAGTTCATCTAGTGTCTTAAAATGACTGACACATTTAGGTGAAGTTCAAGATAAAAACATCTTCTGCACCTAATTTCTTAAAATGACTGACACAAATTGGTATAGTTCAAGAAAAAATATCAGTTGCAGTTGATATTCCCTCTCCTTGGTGCTGAAATGCAATCACCCATATAAACTAGTTGTTCTTGGGGAATTTTGTGGTATTGTCTAAGTTCATCCAGCATCTTAAAATGAATGACACATTTTGGTAGAGTTCAAGAAAAAATGCCTTCTGTGACTGGTATTCCCTCTCCTTGGTGCTGAAATACAATCGTCCATGTAAACTAGTTGTTCTTGGTAAATTTTGCAGTATTCATCTAGTGTCTTAAAATGACTGACACATTTTGGTAGAGTTAAAGAAAAATTAAAGGTACAAAGAAAAATCATCTGCAGTTGATAGTCCCTGTCCTTGGTGCTGAAATGCAATCACCCATGTAAACATGTTATTCTATGGCAATTTTGTGGTATCACTGTCTAGCAGCAATAATGGTAGGTAAGTCATAACACAGCTCTTCATTGTATAAAGGAAATTTTGATGCAGTGATACCAACATTCAGATGAAAAACAATCTCAGAATGTTGGTACTCTTGACACAATACCTGTGATGACGCTGGGTCCATCAGTCATCATGACAACATCTTCCATCCTCTCCTTGATGTCTCCAATCATCTTCCTATTCCTGTTCACATGCTTCTCCAGGCCAGACAGGTCCAGTTTAGCAGGACCAGATTTAGTACTGCCTGGTAAAGCAGCCTCCTTATATCCCCGAGGCCAGAAGCTGGTAACATTCTGTTCTGTAGAGTTCTCTGGCTTTGGAGGTCGAACAATCCTCAGGTTCTGCACCACCAGATGTTCCACCTCCACATACTCATACTCATGGTTTCCTGTCACGGTCTGGATATGAGACATATAAGGAATCTAATGTAAAATCACAGTATTGGCTTTGAACAGGTGAATAAGTGTAAAATGCTAGGACTATTAAGAGAGCAACGGTTAAGATAGGCAATGGACTTGACTTGCCTTTCTTCTTTTCACTTATCCTTATGCTTGAGAAGTTTACAAATGTACAATATATCCTCAAAATGGTTTGTATACATGAAAATCTTCAATTCTTATGTAATGAATAGTTGGCCTTGACCCTGATGGTATTAATGTACTATTTTCATGAAAATCAAGTTCCTAAATCTTATTAATACATTGGAATCTTACATGAATCCACAAAAGATATCTACCATTTATAAAGTACTTTCTGACAGACCTCTAATCTATTCACTGGCATCCAAACTATGAGAATGACAATGCATGCAATAGTTTCAGATTATCATACCTGATGATCTGTAATGGTCATGATTTTATCAAAACGGTCCCTAAGTTTGTTCACCCTGCCCTGTAGCTCCTTAGTCTTCTCAGACAGTTTCATCACCATAGCTCTTGCTTCATCCAAAACCTTTTCTTCCTCACTTTCTTCTCGTTGACCAGAGAACTCCAACCTACAGAAAATGTATCTACTTTATCATGCTGTAAAATAAACAGCATTTCAGCAACTACTGCATGCCTCCGTAGCCTAGTTGACTGAAAAAAGAACTATTATAATGTTACATCTTTTAGGATCTTCAAGATTTAGGAGAGGAAAATTTCACCAGAACTTCATAGAAATTCCTTTGAATCTAGTGACAGTTCCCCTACTGTTTAAAGGTATAACCCTAATGAGTGACATCATATAAATTCCCTTGCTCTTAACAAAAACCTCTTACATACAAATTTACTGATTTCACAATATTATGATACCTGTATAAGCACCAGTTTGATATATACTACACTACCGATAAATGAAATCATTTTGCAACTGAAAATACAGCATTTAGCACCTGAAGACATTGGACCTGGTATCATTCCTGGAGGAGACAGTAACAAGGTAGAATCTCTGCTGGATGGACATGGCCTGTACCACTGACACGTGGGTGGGGAGGGACACCTCCAGGGGAACAGGTAAGAACTGTCCTGACTCATCATACTGGTACAGCACCATGGGACCCTATAGGAGACAGCACAAGGCAGCAACAATGAAATAACCCTGTGTAGTTGTAGACCACACCAATATCTTATATCTGTGTACTATGAAGTCGTTTTGTTTGCAAATTGACATTGTTAACGACTACTAGTATATTTAAAAAAATTGGACCAATGTTACATGTATAGTCAAACCAAACAACAGAAATCTTAATGAAAAGGAAGGAAGGGGCTACTTAAAAGCAAAATGGTGGTCAATGGCTCAAAAGGAAAGGAGCGTTTTACAATCTTTTTTGACAACTCTCATTGACCAACTTTAATGGACAAAACCTACGTGTAGTTTTCAGATGCACCACTAAGGTATCCTAGGATGAGATAGAGAAGAAACTGATATTCAGACCTGACTGTTGGCTGCAATGAGTACCACTTCATTGTTGGGCAGGCGAAGGGACTCCCACTGGGTGATGCCAATAGTTGGAATGACCTGCCATTCTATAAACTGGCTACCCGCCCACCAGTATATGACTGAGTCAATCTGATACTGTCTGTAGAGGTATGTTGAGTGTTGATATCCTATGTGATATAAAACAGCAACACATAATAACAATTCCTGTAACATCACAAACTAACTAGCTTATTCAAATGACGCAGTCTATTAGCTTATTTGAGTCCACTTCAACAAAAACATGACTGACTTTTATGATTAAAACAATGGATAAAACACTCTGCTGGATTATGTAGCGCTCACAATTATGATGGACACAAAGGATGTTTCCAATGAAAAGGGTAGGAAGAAGAGGTACTTAGTCTAGTAGTTTACCCATCAGTGTTACGTCCTTGAACTGGTTGGCAACAGCAAGGTAGTGATGACCACCCATCTCAAAGTGCTCAAAGTCTGAAGCTCCACATGTGTCAAAATTCTGGTACAACTCATACTCATCTGTCTCACTGGAAGGGAAAGAGTGAGAGAAGTTCTTTCATTTACTGTTGTTATTCCAATTGGCTCAGCAGCAGCGGTTGATATACATCCTTTCTTTACCAGTTTGCTGTAAAAGAAACTGCTAACAATATTTCTCAAATCAGTCAAGAACACTGTTTGTAGAGTACCGGTAGTTCTTTTACATACACTGTGACAGCCTGAATCTGAACAGATGAAGGACCTTATAAGTGCAGATAAGAACAACAGCTGTATTTGCACAAAGATGTCTGACTGAAGTACTTACCTGTCAAGCTTGTACAGGAAGGACAGGGTACAGAATGTATCAAAGGTGCGATGGTTTGCCACAGCAAGGTACGACTCTCCACTAATTTCCAAGTGCTCAATGTCCATTGCTCCCTCTGTCTGGATGCTGTATATTACATCAAAATGGCCATGTTCCCAACGGAAGATTCTGGACCTATATTGGAACCTAGAGAATGAGAAGAATTGCTGCAGTTTTAACCAGTCATTGGACCAACCAAATTACAACAGAGTATTATTACTTGTAGCTTTTGTTAGTATTACACTGGCTTTATATCAGCCTCCTTGTCCTTTCTACCACTGATATCAATTCAATGGAAACTTGGTGTAATGAATCTTTTGGAATTCAAACTATAAACTTTTGATACGTGTTGAATAATTTGAAAATGTAACATTATAATCAATTGTTAAAGATGGTGTTTACTTTTTCTGGTGTCCTTCAGGCTTGCTAGGATCAGAGTAAGTAGCAACTGCCAGCCACAGATGGCCGTCATAGAGGAACATGGTGGCCGACCGTCCCTCAGGGTTGATAATGGACTGTCTCCTCTCAAATCCTGTGTATGGTGAGGCTTTCTGTCATGCCAAAGAGAGATATAGTAGATAAAGTGGCTTGGGTTTCAATGATTCAATAAACGTGTCAGAGCATGCTGAATGTGTGCAATCAGATTGGTCGGTTTTTAACCATATTACAGAGACTATGACACTCCTGTACCTGAGTGGAAAAAAATTTCTCTAGAAAAAATCTTAAAGCTTTGAGTCTGAGAGGACAATTTGTACAATCTAGCCTTTGGCCAATGCAATATGTAAGTATGGCAATCACTACTTCTATACTGTAGTTACGTTGTTATAACATACAATACCGGTACTTATGCCACATACCCTATAAATAGTGGCTGTTGGTGCATAATACCCTGCCACAGTGTTGGTGATATTACTGGTGACGGCCATCAGGACATGGGGTGAGTCTGTGAAAATGTCTGTGATAAGGCCAGTGGCCACTCCCTGTGCACCATGGGTAAGTACTGAGTCATGTGGATGGAAGGTCTCCAAATCTAGAAGGAAGACAGGTAATCAATAAACAGGTTTTCAAAAGTTTGTAAAAGTCAAAGCTATGTCTTTAGGCCACACCAATTTAATTTGCTGTTTCTCAGATTTATTCAGAAAAAATATGAGGTGACAGGGCGAAATAAAAAAAAACACACAGACCAAGGCACCCCATGATAGCCAGAAATGTTATGACACGAGCCAAGTAGTTAACAAACCAGGCTGGTATATAATTAATACAATAGATTTTGAACTTTTAATGAAATGAACTTGCATTGTTACATTGAAAAACTTTAACAACTAGAAGAAAAGGACTTTCTACAAGAGTTGGGGCCAAAATATGTCTTTCATTGAGTATTTTGCAGTTGATAGCAAAAAAAACACCTGTGTCAAATCTGTAGATATTGCTGTTGGTCCATGGTCCATTCCTGATGAATCCCAAGTAGACATCCCCTGAGAAGTTAAAAGCTGTCATGCCAGACACAGTGCTGTGCTGATCAGCCACGATGTGGTCCTCACACTCCAGACACTGAGTCAGCTCAACCACCCCTCTCAGCCACAGGCGGTTAGCTTCATCTGTAGATGGTAACATGATAGAAACTTCAAGACTCAATATACTACTTAAATAATTGCGAGGTTCGATGGTAGTAAAAGTTAGCATTTCTTTGTTTCAGCTGGGAACAATGATGAATTGCGTTGTGAAGGGAAACCTGCACTCAATGTAAATAAGTCACAGTAAGGCAAGAAAGCATGCAATCTTTGAAAAGTACATATCTTATAAAAGTACATACCTCAAACTTCACAGATTGGAAAAAATACTGAGTGTCATGCATTACTACATTACCTGCAGGGACAGATGCTCCAAGCCCCATGGACCGTTTCTTGCGAGGGTCACGAACGCGTGTACGATAAAGCTCGCTGATGTCTTCGCGATGTTTCATCATTCTCTTCTTGAGCCACTGCCTCATGGCTCGCTGCACATCTGTGGGGTCATCCTGGCCCGGGTGGTCAGTGTGGCGTGAGTTATGACCATGCCTGTGTCTGTTTCCCTCTGTCTGACTCGATGATACAGATGACCACAGAAACAGGAGGACAAGACCAAACCACATTTTGGCTGAAATAGGGGTGATTGTCAAAGTTATGGGATTATGGTGGCTCACTGTCCAAGACATGGTGGTTTAATTACTGTATCAGTTCTGCTGAAACAGATTCATATCAGACAAAGTTCTTTATCTAATGTCAGTCATGTGAAAGATACTTACTCTAAAGTAGTCCTATTGTAAAGACAAATATCTCTCTATATATACTATGTTACCAAACTCTGGCATCAGTGATTGGCTAGCTCTGTGGCAACGAGCAAAGCATGTTTAATGTGCCTTCAAACCATGGAGTTTACACATGGAGTGACAACACAGTGTTGTAACTCCATGTTCAAACTATGACACGCCATTTTCCATACTTCACAGTCACATGTACGCTATAAGTTACAACTCAATGTTAACTAATAAATACCTGAAAGGAGGCGAAGCCAGACAATCTAATGTCCTCCTATGTAGTCTGGTGCTGCGGATATGCTGCAGGTAAAGAAATGGAGTGTCTGGACAAGCCGCTAGCCGGGCTGGTCTGACATCCAGTGGCGCTCGGCACTCCCCTCGCCTCGGTGTTTCCCGACAAGGAAACAAATAACATTGGCTTGGTGTGGTCTACAGCTTCCCGCCATTTCTTGCAGCTGCCTAGCACTGTTTCTGTCCGGCCAATTAAGTCTAGAAATTGCCTTTAATGCATTTCAAATCATTCCAACATTCCTGTTGTCTCTACCAACTCACTCAGTGGAGATCAGCTGTTTCAGTGCATAGCATCTAAACGCATCAATTATTCAAATGCTTCAGAGTCTAAATCATCGACAACAACGACAAAGTAGATAATATAGATTACAACTAATATTTTACAGACATCTTGTATCTTAGATTTACGTTGTATGTACTCTAAAGGCCATTAAACATTTCACTTATATCATCAACCCTTTGGATGCGGTAGGTCAAAGGTTATAAAAAGCGCGCGAATGATTATCCTACCTGATGATATGTATAGTGTCTCTAGATCTGTCATGTCTTGTCGTTTTCCGATATCAATAATCTGCAATATGCGGTGGTGATGATAATGCTGACATAGTACTATTGGATTTTTATATATTACGTAAGTGTACGACAGAGTACCTCCGACTAAGTTTTACATTACTGGGTCGAAATATGATGCACCTAATTCAATTGTCGATTGGTGTATGCCAAAATGTATTTTCATTGTGACCTAAATAGCTGGCTATTTTGTCAAAACATTGATTAATAGACGTGGAAAATGTAAATCAAAAGAACAAAATTATCGAGTCTGCCAGGATTCGAACCTGGAATCTTCTGATCCGTAGTCAGACGCGTTATCCGTTGCGCCACAGACCCGTTATTGCTTTCCATATATGACTTTTGGCACTTTGGATTTTTATATCCGTCTAACGCCACGAGCTTTAGTTTTAAATTTCCTCTATGGAGAACATGCCTTGATCTAGATCTGATGTCAAGCGACCCGGTAAACTGTACTTCATGTGTAGATGTTAGGAAGACTTATACTATTATAGAAAAGATTCATATTCACAAAACTGGTCAAGTCAAGGAATTGGTTTATTATTTCCATATCGTCAGACGATAATGAATGACAATCTCAACAGGGATAATGAATTGACATCGTCAGTTCTTCACTTTATTACTAATACACACTCCGTGATCTTAAAATAGGCAATGCAAGGTCAAATTACGTCGTTATACGAGTAAAGGTCACAAATCATACAAAATATATTATGCTGACTATAGTTTTACATTATACAGAACATATGAACACATACAGTACATTACAAGGAACTTTCTTGTAATGGCATATAAATATACCAACATTATTCGCCTCAGATATCATAAGTTACAACAGTTCAAAATCCTAGCAGGAGTCGAAACGTGGCAAGAGTTCTCTCCGCTCCCGCATGGCGGTCACCTGTCGGACGAACCCGGACAGCACCTGCCGACACTCCCGCTCGAACCCCGACAGCGTGCCGGTCCCCTCGCCCCGCCGGATGTAGTTGTTCAGCACGGAGGTGTACAAGTCTGAGTCCACGATCCTCAGCTCGGCGATGGCGGCGTAGTTCCTCAGGGTCAGCTTGCCGAAGGGTTCGTGTCTGCAGCCCTCGGAGACGGACAGCGAGCGGTCCTGCCTCAGTCGGTCGAGGATGCGGCCGTACGAGTCGTGGATGGGTCTCAGGTCGGCGGCGAGAGAGAAGTGTCCCGACCGATCGGTGTCGGTTCGGCTGACCTTGGCGGTGGCTTCAGATGAGTCGTCCCCAGCCCGCTGTCTCTTCCTGGTGTTGACCGTACTGTCGGGGCTGGCCGGGCGGGAGGACGGCGCCGGGGAGGAGGACGGCGCCGGGGAGGAGGTGGAAGGTCTGGCGGGTGGCGGCGCTGCAAATTTCCGTCTCGTAAACGGTCGTCGCCTTTCCGAACGGTCGTCGCCTTTTTTCAGAACGGTCGTCGCCTTTCGGAGCGGTCGTCGCCATTTCCGATCGACCGAACTTCAGTTCCGAATATCCGCGACATGTTCGGGACTTCCCGGAGTTCTTTGAATGTGTGAAATCACACTTCCTGAAGATAACATCGCGACCGCAGACGGGCCAGAACTTGGCTAGGTGGATTGAAGTTGCGTGGGTGCTAGTACATGTATTATAATTATAAGTTCCGGGGGTTGAATTATCTAGGTTAGAACTAGGTTAGTGTTTGAGAAATTCTCGATTGGAACGGGAAGGGTTTGGGTAACTCTGAACTCGAATGTCTCTGGGTATTTATTTTTCTTGTATGTGAACATGTCCTCTCCCTTTTTTCTTTGTTTCCTTTTGAAATGCGAATAAACATTATTTTAAAAAAAAAACCCTCTGAACTAGAACGTTTGTAGGTTTTCATACATTGCTGAATTTGAAACGGGGGCGAGAAAAACTCCACATGTATTTTTGGAACAGCCCATTGTGCGAGCATGTAATTTATGAATGCTGCAGGATGGTCTGACTCAGAAACATTCATTCGGAAGCACCATCACACATGCAGGCATTTACTCTGACCAAGGACATTATGTCCTGACTGACTGACTCACAACTCCACCACAGCCGGGTTTTATTTTGTTGTCTCAGTGCTTGCCCAGCATAGCAGGCCATTTCACACTTGTCACCAGCATGGCATTGATGTGCTACCCAGTGAATGTGTCGTATTTACATACAGTGCAGTGGTGAATGTGTCAAGTATTAACATTCAGCAAGGTAACAAAACATAGACATTTCGGGATGAAAATAGCTTTACAAGTTTGTCAAAACTCCTGTCAAAGTAAGACATTGTCCCCCTTCTAAAACAGCAGGTCCTTTATTAATCCTACATGAATTTTACATAAACGAAAGGAATGCATACCACAGGGATTGAGAAATATAGCACAGGGACGGAATCTATGTTTGTTTTTGGTTGAAGATTCATTTGTCATTTGTATAAACGGCATTATATGAACCCTTCTTCAGTTTGTTGGCGAAGGGAAACAAGAATAGGCTGGAGAAGATCCAGGCCTAGGATCGTATGCTGATCTTATAAAATCAGCAGTTGAGGAGACAAGTTACTTTTCTGGCCCGCCTACGGTCGCCATGTTATGGACTGAGTGCGATTCACACATTCCAAGAACTCCGGGAAGTCCCGAACATGCCGCGGATATTCGGAACTGAAGTTCGGTCGCTCGGAAATGGCGACGACCGCTCCGAAAGGCGACGACCGTTCTGAGAAAAGGCGACGACCGTTCGGAAAGGCGACGACCGTTTACGAGACGGAAATTTGCGGCGGCGCTGGCCCGGCCGGGCGGGAGGCTGTCGGTGACTGCGATGAAGTGACTTCGCTCTCGTCGGTGGAGACGGGCGTGGACGGACGGCTGTGGTGCGGAGACCTCGTCATCATGGCGCCGATGACCTTCTGGTAGCGGTGCAGCATCAGCATGGAGACGTACAGGGCGACTCCCAGACGGCGGTGGTTGTGCATGACGGGGCTGGTGGCCGGGTGGAACATCTTGTCGCAGTTGTCGCACAGGCACAAGACTCTGTCACGGTTGTAGGTCACACAAACGGGGTCCAGGCAGACCCAGGCCGCCTGCTGGCCGCACCGCCCGCACAGGAACGACCGTGCCTTGGCGTCGAAGTCGTCGGCCCGTTTGGCGATCCACTCGGCTCGGGACCCGGAGTAGGAAGCGCTGCGGGGAAGGCTGTCTGTTCTCTCCATATCGTCACGTTCGTGATGAGATCTGCTGAATGTCAGTCGATGTGCTCTCAGTGGAAACCAACAGAGGTATGACTGGAGCGTTTGTCGGGACCGGATTTTATGGTCGATTTTTCCGCCAGCGGTGATTAGAGAACAAAAGACGTCGGAATCGGACACGACAGGTGACAGACGTTCTCGGGACAAGTGTCGTGAGATGCCGGCCGTCAGACCGGTTGTGCCGTCCGGCTCCTGTGGGCGGCGCAACTTTGAAGAGTTCAAGGTGGATCACAGAAATGGGAAAGTCTTTGTCATCTTTGTCCTGGGCTGTTTCTTTGATGTGTATTTGAGACAACATCCGTCTATGAGATGTTGATTTGACCGATGCACAATCTGTTGATCTGTTGGGTTAAAGGATAAAGCCAATGAACAGACTACAGATATGGGAAATAAAATCTAAAGATTAGAGGAACTCAGAAAGAGCAAGTTGAGTCTCTTGCGTGGGGCTTCTTGTCGGTCGAGGTACATGAACTAGCCACTTTGTTGCCATTTAAATTTTATCTTTTAGTCCTCTTCGTGGAAACCATTTGCTGTTGACATGTCCTGAACGTATACCCGTTATATCCAATTCATACAGCTAAATCTTTCGGACGCATATAACAGCACATGTGTATGTAACCATAGTTCAATTTTGTGGTGCAAGAGCTACTTTACGGCTTGTTCTGAAAATAATGTACACATATACGTTAAATTTGGTCAATGTGGGTGATGTATATTGTAGACAACGTATACTTTCAGACAGGTCTTCAATGGACCTTCTCGCCGACTTGGGCGGTTCATAAAGATGATTGAAACACAAAGGAACATTTTCGATGTGTACCAGACAGGTATTTGTCGGGTGTAGCCTTTCTACTGCCGAAGTAAATGTGTATTCCAGACTACGGGCTTTACCGACTGTGTATCTGGAGAAACAGACATTTTCTCCCCATTACGGCTCACCTCGACAACACAAAGTGCTAAAATTGAAAGAAAGTCAAGACTATGATGGGACCATTTCAAATTGTACAGCTGAATCCCGTTAGCCCATATCAGAGGCAGTTTAATATCATCAACAGATTGCAATAAACCTACTACAATGTCGTGTTTTTTTTTACATATTTATGTCCCGTGTAAAATTTAAATGGCACATAAAAGTTCGCAAGAACAACTCAATTGTATTGTATGTTATCATCCGAGGATGATCGAATTTTTTTCACTCAAATGTCCATGAACTTGTATTGTTCTGGGTGATTTTCCTACATATATGCTGTGTGTTGGGGGGCCAGAATATTGATGCCGTACAATATAACTGCTGCCTAGTCCATTCGTCTAAAACCGCCAAATGTTTTGACGCATGGCAGCATATGTCTGGTAGCCATATTTCAAATGTGGTACAATTCAAGGGCTGCTCTTGTTCCAATATATAATTTACACATGCGCGTTAGATTGGTGAATGTGGTTGATGTATATTGTAGACAACGTATACTTTCAGACAGATCTTGATGGACCTTCTCACCGACTAGGGCGGTTCATAAAGATGATTGAAACACAAAGGAACATTTTCGATGTGTACCAGACATGTGCACAGGTGTTTGTCGGATGTAGCCTTTCTACTGCCGCAGGTAGATGTGTATTCCAGACTACGGGCTTTACCGGCTGTGTATCTGGCGAACAGACATTTTCTCATTACACCTCACCTAGACCATGGAGTTAAATTGTTTTTCTACCTCTATGCCTCGACAAAGCACAATGCTAAAATTGAAAGAAAAGTCACTATGATGAGACCTTTTTCAACTTGTGCAATTGGAACCCGCTAGCCCATATTATGGGATTACAATACTAAAACCTACTACCATCCCACTTAACGCCCTTTTTCAATTAGTGAATTGAAATTAGACCTGACACTTTTGACATGGTGGTCATGGTACGCCATGCTTCCTTTATTTTTCGTCTCTGTTTTTTTTCTTTTCATATTTCTGTCCCGTATGAAAATAATACACAAAAGTTACCCTACCCTCCCCCCAAGAAACTCAACTGTATTGTATGCTATCATCCGGTTATGGTCGACTTTTGTTCACTCAACTGTCCGTGAACTTGGACCGTTCCGGATGGTTTTCCTACATATACTGTACGCTTTGCGTTACAAGAATACTGATGCCGTACGATATGACCGTTGCTGCCTAGTCAACTCAATGTCAAGTTGCCAGTACGTACATTGGGATTTAGAATAATCGTATATGCAGAACCAGAACTATTGCTACTGCTCTTGAACCTGCCGTTACCGTACGTTAAGCCTTGGTGGAGGGACTGACGAGCACGGGGAGACCCTTAAGGAACGCGGGTGGACTCAGGGTTCCCATGGCAAGAACCTCCAGACTGCAGAGGTCATTTCTGCATCAAGCCATCAGACTCTCTAATAATCAATAGCAGACCTAGTGTTGTTTTTTTATGTTGTACATACTGTAATTGTTATGAATCTGTATGTCCTGTTTGTACCCTCGTTGTATATGTAATGGTCAGCGCAATTCAGCAGTCCATATTGTTCTTTATGTACTGCTGCTAGGCTGACCACTGTTTGAATAAAGAATAAAGAATACATGAACCATTGATTCCATCTTATTCAGATTCATTCGAATTTTATTCGACTGTTCTGAATGGTTTTCCTACATATACGTTGTGCGCATTCTGTGCTGTGTCTCTGCTTGGTTCAATAAACATTTCTGTGCGAGCATAGACAACTCTGTACTACCGACTACCTGTCGGGGTTCGGACAATACTGTCGTGTTTGCAAATGAACGGCGCATTGTTTCCGCCCAACGACATAATCGTCAAGACAAATCACCTCATTACTCCCGGACGTACCGATAGACGGCGTACTTCCGCTGGCATTGTTACATGTTTGCCGCATCATTACGTGTGTGTAGTGTGTATCCGTACCGGCTTTGTCTTAACATCCAGACAATACACACTTTCACTGGAATGTCTGTGACACAATACACACTGAACTGTGCTGCAGCAGAAACAGTTCAGATTGTTTCATCACTCTCATGATCTTTACATGGCGTTTTGAATTGAACCCAAGAGCATATTCACCATACCTGATTGCTTGATCAACGATATCCACAACTGTCAGAGTGACGTCCATATACATATACACGTCTAACGTTATACCATATAAATATATAAATACACGAGTCATGTTATCAGAGCTATATATGCACTCATATAAATATACGAGAAATGTTATCAGAGCTATATATGCACTCATATAGACATACGAGAAATGTTATCAGAGCTATATATGCCCTTTCTACTCTATGGAAAGGCGCCACCCATGCCATTTGTGATGGAAATATACAAAGGTTGAGAAATTGTACATCCAGCACCTTTGGCGACATTACGCCTTGTGACTTGCCTAAACTCTGTTCAAGTCTGTTGAATATACGGATAGACATTCGGAGGTGTACTTGTGGTTTGAAATATAATGACTGGCGTATAAAGATTTACGAATTCACCTGTTAGATGTAGTTTACAAATGTCTATAGGTTATATTGTCTTATATAGTATAGTATGGTCATACTTGTGCGTTAAAAGAGGTAAGCTTTCGTCTATGCTGTCTTATATATAGTTAGATTGGTCCAATGTCCCTGTTGATGGCTTCAGCCTCAGGCATCCTCTCGTAATCCGTCGATGTGTCACAACACTGCAGAACCCTGGAGAGGGAAGGGGAAATGTTGTCTTAATATCATATTCTCATGTATAAACAGAGAAATTGAACATCGTGGAAAATCCAAATAAACAAATAGACAAACAACTTGTGTCAACTGTACAAGAAGTACGGGGTAACAACTGTCTTACCCTATCAGGATGGAGCAGACCAGGTATATCCCCGCACAAACCAGGAACACGAAACCAGGCAAGAAGCTCAGCGTGGATCCGTAGAGGAAATTCAAGAAGAAGACGAAAAGGAGGTCTCCGATGTTGTCCACGAAAGCCAGTAGGGCAAACAGAGTACCTATGAGGAGTAATACTAGTAGTTATACACGTGGAACTGACAGTTTGGGCGTAACGGTGAAATAACGAAAGCTTCGAAAGCGATCTCAAGTTTATTGTGGATAGGAGGTGAAAACAGGCTCAAAACAACATACGTTCTGCAGTTCCACCTAGATTGCGAAACAATAGTAGCAGGTACTATCTGATATCAGTGATTACTACAAAATTCTAACGATACGATATTTCGATAAGTTTGGTAAATGTTTAAACTTAAAACTGCAGGCCATATAGTACCTTGGTCGTCACGACTGACCATCCTAGACAAAACCGCCAGCAGGATGGGAGAAGGCATCGTCTGTAGACAGCTGAGACTTAACGCTGTGGGAAGAACAGATACATGGCTTAACCGTCATGCTGAGAAGACTGGAGCAGAAACGCGTCAGGTAGATACAAAATACTGTCAAACGGAGTTTTGGATACTTCCCAAGAGACGTTTAGACTATACGTTAGAGAAAAAATTTCTGACATACCTATGAAGAATGTCAAGGTGCGATCAGAAGTGTAGACAGCCAGGGCTTGAAGTACCAGTCCACTTATTGCCGCGAAGCAGCCAACCTGTTGATACATATTGGTTTATTGGTCATATGTACAGTTTGCAGCATTATCATTAATCTGGAATATTCTTTCGCTATCTGAACAAAGTATTTCAATGGTTCGGGGTTCCAGTTAAACCGTTTTTTTAGACAAACACTGTTGATTTCTTTCTTGCTTTTTTTTCTTTCTTTTTTACTTCCTCGCTTTGCGAATTGATATCTATCTGCTGTAATTATAACTCTGTTGTATCATACCTGGACCAATCCGTATGACGACAGCCACCTCCCCAGTACAGACATGACGTAAGCAGAGCCTACAACAGCGCCTTGGAAACCTAGCAGGACCGGGTCCCAGCAATATGGCGGCGACAGAAGGATGATGGTTCTCACTCCCGACACTGACTCTTGGACACTATGGGCCAGGAAGTACACAAGCACGACGGTAGCCATGATCCATCTTTGCGGCTTTTGAACCCTTTTTACAAGA